GACCCTATGGAGCCTGGAGCAGCTCGCGCTGTAGGCGCTGGAGCTGGAGTAGCTGGAGTCGGGGGCCCTGGTGCAGGAGGCGCTAGGGCTGCAGGAGCTGGAGTTGGAGGCACTGGCGCCGGAGGCGCTGGAGCTGTAGGAGCTGGAGCTGTTGACCCTGGAGCTGGAGGTACTGGAGACACTGTGCGGCCGCGACCGTACTTCGTTCCCCTGCTTCAGCAGGTTCTTGGTGTCCCGTGTACTGGTCTTCCTCCTCCCTTCTTGTGTCCACGGCCTGATCAGTCGCAGCCGCCGTTACAGCCAGCCTCCCCACTGCCTGCTCCCTCTCCTTACACTGAGCAGTCCGGAGGTCTTACAGTGCGTCGTGAGCCTGCGTCTCGTCCTGTCTCGCCTGTTTGCACTGCTCGTCGCGCTCCTCGTTCGCGTCCTCCTCTTGTCCCTGGCACGCACACTATGGCACTCCGTCCTTCCTCTGTTCCACTGTGTGTTCCTCTGCCTGCTCCTCCTGAGTCCTCTCTTCCTAAGGTCCCTGACCCTGAGTCTGACCGAGCGCGTGCTGCCAGTCCCACTGTCGCTCGTCTCCTTGCCACTGCTGTCACTGACCCGTACTTTGAGTCTGCTGTTGCGTCTGCTCTCGTTGCTGAGCTGCTTGACTTTGCTGCTGCCTGCAGTCTCGACTACGCCACTGCTCTCGTTGCTGAGCTGCTTGACTTTGCTGCTGCCTGCAGTCTCGACTACGCCACTGCTCTCGTTGCTGAGTCTGTGTCTGCCAGTCCTCCGTCCGTCGGGTGTGAGTGTGCTCTTGGCACGGACATCCTTGAGGACAGGCAGGAGGACTTTGAGTGTCTTGCAGCTGCTGTACCTCGTTTCGCTTCCATGCTGCTTGCCCCTGAGGGAGACCCGGATGCTCCAGACATCCCGACCCCGCGCTCTTACGCATAGGCGATTATGGGTCCTTACTCCTCTCTGTGGCAGGCAGCTATGGATGCCGAGATGGCATCCTGGAAGTCCATAGGCACCTACGTCGACGAGGTTCCCCCAACTGGGGCAAACATAGTCGATGGCATGTGGATTTTCAGGGTGAAGCGGCCGCTGGGTTCTCCGCCTGCCTTCAAGGCGCGTTACGTTGCTCGAGGCTTCAGCCAGCGACAGGGGGTTGACTACTTCCAGGCCTTCTCCCCCAACCCGAAGATGACTACTCTTCGGGTGTTGCTGCACATCGCTGCTCAGCGTGACTATGAGTTGCACTCCCTGGACTTTAGTACAGCCTTCCTGCAGGGCAGTCTGCACGAGGAGATCTGGCTGCGCCGACCACCTGGTTTCACTGGGACGTTTCCTGCAGGTACTCAGTGGAGCCTCCGTCGGCCAGTCTACGGTCTCCGCCAGGCGCCTCACGAGTGGCACGATACACTGAGGACTACACTTGCGGCTCTTGGGTTTGCTCCTTCTACAGCAGACCCGTCGCTGTTTCTACGCACCGACACCTCACTGCCGCCGTTCTACGTCCTAGTGTTCGTCGACGACCTCGTCTTTGCCACTGCTGACACTGAGGCACTGACCCTTGTGAAGTTCGAGCTGCAGAAGAGACACACCTGCACTGACCTGGGTGAACTGCGCAGCTATCTTGGCCTGCAGATCAACCGGGACAGAGCACGGCGCACCATCACACTGACTCAATCACACATGGTGCACCAGGTCCTTCAGCGCTTCGGCTTCCAGTACTCCTCGCCACAGCCCACTCCTCTGTCTACCAGCCACTCGCTCTTAGCTCCACCTTCGGACGAGTCCGTAGAGCCGAGTGGTCCGTACCCAGAGCTTGTGGGTTGCCTCATGTACCTGATGACGTGCACACGACCTGACCTCGCATACCCTCTCAGCCTCCTGGCTTGTTACCTGGCTCCCGACAGGCACCGAAAGGTGCACTGGGATGCTGCGAAGAGGGTACTGCGTTACTTGTGCAGTACGTCAGGCATGGGGCTCGTGCTTGGAGGACGGGGTCCAGTTGTCCTCACCGGTCACGCAGACTTCTCTTGGGTTGACGACTCAGCTACGCAGCGGTCGTCACAGGGTTACACCTTCAGCCTCGGCTCTGGCTCTTTTTCTTGGCGGTCTACCCGCTCGTCTTCGGTTCGCAGCTCCAGTTGTGAGGCTGAGATCTACACCGGGGCCATGGCTGCTCAGGAGCTACGCTGGCTCACCTACCTGCTGACCGACTTGGGAGAGCAGCCTCGTTCGCCACCAGTTCTGTACGTAGACAACAAGGCCATGATTGCCTTGTGGCAGGAGCACAGACTGGAGCACAGAACGAAGCACATCGCTCTGCGATGCTTCCTTGCTCGAGAGTTGCAGCACCGTGGCCAGCTTCGTCTTGCGTACGTGGCCACTCGGGCCAACACTGCTGATGTCTTCACCAAGGCACTTCCGCCTGGTGATCATCAGCGCCTTGTGCCTACTTTGCCTCACTTGCTTACTGCTTGACTCTGCTTGTACTGTGATCTATATATATACCTGCATGCTTGCACTTTCTAGGGTATGATCACTGTATTGTTTGTTCTCTTTATATAACTCTGCATGTGAACTAGCCTTGTGGCCCTTTGCTTGTGCTCGGACTGTGTGGTGACTTTGTGATCCACCCTGAGCTTGCTTTGCTTTTCTTGACTGGTCTTGTGACCACTTGTTCTCCCCCACTTTGCCTATGGGGGTGTGTCAAACTTATATGCTGCACATTATGTAGTTTGTAGTGGGGTAGCCTATATGGGGTACAACACAACTCAGGGTTAGTACTTGTACTCATCCTGCTGCTAGTTCATTTCATTCTCGTTTGTTATTCTCACAGAATCAGCTTATCCAGAGGACACAAATCTCCCCCGCTACACACAGAGTGGCCTGCAGATACTGGGACTCGTTACCGCTGTCCACGGAGCAGCACCACCTAAGGAGCCTGCTACCATTCAGCAGGCTATGGGGGGGGAACACAGGGAAAAATGGCGTGAAGCCATGGACAGAGAGTTAAAGGCGCTGCAAGAACGCAACACCTGGAAAGTCGTACCTATCGGAGTGGCACGCAACAAGACCATTCTCACCGGAAAATGGGTTTTCCGCGTGAAAACAAAAGCCGACGGAACAATCGACAAATTCAAAGCATGCTGGGTTGTGCGTGGCTTCGACCAAGAGCAAGGGCGAGACTTCACGGAAACATTCGCCCCAGTAAGCCGACATACCTCACTGCGGATTCTCCTCGCGATAGCCGCCATGAACCGGAAGAAGCTTCGGCAAATCGATGTCGCCAACGCCTTCCTCTACGCCCCCGTCGACGCTGAGATTTTCGTCGAACTCCCGCACGGGTCCAACGCAGGCCCAAACCAATTCTGTCAGCTGGAGAAATCGCTGTACGGGATTAAGCAAGCCCTGAGATTGTGGCAGCAGCACCTTCACGCCCGCCTAATCCGCATTGGTTTCCTTCAACTACCGCACGACCAAGGGATGTATCGACTGACGAAGGGCACCGACTACATTCTACTCATCGTCTACGTCGACGACCTCCTCTACATAGGCTCCACCGACGCTCTAACAACATGGTTTGAAGGGGAGCTGCAGAAGGATCTCACTCTCAGCGTCGCAACTACTGTGACACAGTACCTGGGACTAAACATCCAAGACGGTGACAACGCAATCTACCTCAGCGCTGAAAAGTACACAGACACTATCGCTAAACGTTTCGGACTCACTCCAACCGCCATCTCCACGCCATACCGCTACACTGACGGAAATCGAAAGACCTCCGTTCTACTCAAACCTGCCGGCATCCGCGACTACCAACGCAAGTTAGGCTGCCTACTCTTCGCAGCCGTCACCTGCCGACCGGATCTATCCTACTCAGCTAGCCAACTCGCTACCTACCTCAAGAAGCCTGAAGCAGAGCACATGCTCGAACTCGACCAAGCACTTCACTACCTCGTCAGTACTCCGACGATCGGAATGACCTACCACAAGACCGGAACTACGCATCCTAAGCTAATCGGTTACGTCGACGCAGATCACGCTGGAGATTCTGACAACAGACGATCTCGAACAGGCTACGTCTATAGACTCGAACCTATCGGGCCTATCTCAGGGCAGTCGAACAAGCAAGAGCTAATCGCTCTCTCCTCAGCAGAAGCAGAATATATCGCACTCTGCTCAGCCACCAAGGAAGGGCTATATCTTCGCGAATTACTGGAGGAACCAAAATTGGCCCAGTTACCCAGCTTCTCTCTCTTCTGCGACAACCAATCGGCCATTCGCATAGCGAACAAAAACGGGTTCGCGAATCGAACGAAGCATATCGCTCTTCGGTACTTCTTCGTAAAAGACGAAATCGAGAAGGGAAGACTCGAGCTATCCTACTGTCCCACATCCGAGATGGCAGCTGATTACTTGACCAAGAAACTCGGAAAACAGAAGTTCGAGTACTGCATGCTGCTGACTGGACAAGGACATGTCATCAGCAGCGACACTCCAGAAGCGAAGGGGAGTGTTGGAAACAAGCAAACTTAAACGCTTTTGAAGTATCGAAGTGTTAACATGAATCGGAGCAGACTACAGCGAAGAAACACCCGAGTCAACAAAAACCGCTGGAGGTTACGCGAAAGTCAAAGGTCGCTGACCCTTGACCTGACGAAAACTGTAGTGCGACAGCAAGGACACATAACTGACTCATTACTGAGCAGTCACCCGAGTCGGCACTGTATCGAACCGCAACAGCAAAACAGTTGAAAGTAGAACATTAATATTCCTTTGTAATCATATAAAAGGCTTGTATTTCCTTGCTATTAATCAACTTATCTTGTTCTCACACACCAGTACAAGGTGGTTCAAGCAACTCTTATAAAAACGCTTCCGCTATTACAACATCTCTACTTCAATACTTGATCTCAGCCTTAAAAGATCCAAAGGGCTTTTCTCAGCCCAACAATCACCACCTCATTTATCTACCACCGCACGCACTATCTCACTACGACTCAGGCCTGCGCATCCCCCTGTTCACTCTTCGACCCCACCATGCGGCCCTGCTGTACGGCATTCAGCTGAGCCCGCACCGTCTCCAGCTCCTCCGCCACCGCTGCTGCCGCCTTGCTGGACTCCTCCAGCTCAGCATTCTGACAGGGGACAGGGAGATCGGGAAAGGGAGATTGCGACAGGGAGAAAAGGCACGGAGATATTGCTCATGCGAACCAGCATAAAAGCTGCTTCGTCTCAGCTTCTTGCTCTCCTTGCTCTGCAAATCAACTTGGTGCCCAAGACCTTCATTCCACCAGCATCACTGACCACACAACAACCTGCTCTAAGAACATCCGCAGCCACCCAACATCCCCTCCCACCCACATGCACCCGCTCACCCATAAAAGGCCGCCACGCTCCTTCGTTTCAGCCTCCTGTTCTCCTTGGCCTTGCTGCACGCCTCCCTAACACATGCACTGCACTCGCCACCCATAACTCTCATTTTGAGCTTCTTGTTCTCCTTAGCCTCGGCATCCGCCTGGTCCTCCAGAGCCTCCACCAGCATGGCTGCCTCCAACACATGCTCTACCCTGCACGCGTGCCACCACCCACCCTCACACGTAAAGCACGCCACCACTCACTCTCTTCTTCAGCTTCATGTTCTCCTTGGCCTCGGCGTATGCCCGGTCCTCCAGAGTCTCCACGAGCACGGCTACCCATGTCACTCACTGCCTACCCAACAGAACTTCCCAAGTGCGTGTGCACGGCACTCACTCTCTTCTTGAGCTTCTTGTTCTCCTTGGCCTCGGCGTAAGCCTGGTCCTCCAGAGCCTCCACCAGCATCGCTGCCTCCGCCCTCACCTCCAGCATCGCCTCAAACTTCTTCTCCCCCGCTTCCAATTCCCGGGTCATTTGCGTCACCTGGTGTGTGGGCCGCAGGAAACAAGGGAAGCATGGGGCACAGGGAAACAAGGAAAGGAGGGGCATGAGCATGGCTGCCTCCGCCCTCACCTCCAGCATCGCCTCAAACATGTTCTCACCAGCTTACAGCTCGCGGGTCATCTGTGTCACCTGGAGAGGAGTGGGGAGATCAGGGAAGCACGGGAGCAAAGGAAGCAGGGGAACAAGGGAAACAGGGGAAAAAGCGGAGCAAGAGAACATGGGAAGCATGGGGGAGACGGGTGGAAGGAAAGACATGTGTTTCAATATCCTGCATCGCATCCTCTCCCCCATGCTTCACATGTGTTTCAACCAAATGCCATCCTCTCCTGTTTGAAGCTCTCAAGTCAACAAGTCTCCCCCTTCCTTTCACCTGCCATGCCCCTTTGCCTTTCACTTCCGATCCCTCATGCCCTCTCTCTCACCCGCTGCAATCTCCCACCCGCTGCAATCTCCCATTATGTTAAACACTGATTTACCTCCCCAGCAAAACCCCAGGCTGCGAACCCTTCCCTTGAGCCCTGAAACCTTGTCCCTCGTGCTGTCCAGCTGCTGCTGCACGCACCTCCCTTGCAGTCCACATCCAACCATCCCACTGAACTCAAGCAAACCCAAAAAGCACACCTATCCCTTGAGCCTTGAGACTTCATCAAACGTGCTGTCCAGCTGCTGCTGCACCCCCTGCACTCCCCTCTTAGCCCAGTCACACCGCCAGCCATCCATCCATACCATTCCATGAAAACCCCACACATATCCAACCGTCATACCTGTCCCTTGAGCCTTGAGCCTTCATCAAACGTGCTGTCCAGCTGCTGCTGCACCCCCCTCCCTTGCGCCCCAACCCACTGATCTATCCCGTACCTCCCCACCTCACCCCACGCGTACGCACCTGCCCTTTCAGCCTTGAAACTTCATCAAATGTGCTGTCCAGCTGCTGCTGCACCTCCTGCGCCTTCTGCTCTGCTGACGCCCTGCTGACATCAGCAGCCTCCTTCTCCGCAGCCAGCCTGGCAGCCTCATCCCGCGCGGCCACCAGCTCAGCGGAGAGCGATGAGAGCTGGGACTGGAGGGATGGAGAGAGGGATGGAGGGAGGGATGGAGGGAGGGAGGGGATGGAGGGAGGGAGGAACGGTGCAAAGGGAGAGATATAGAAAGAGTGAAGGGAAAGAGGGTGAGAGCAACCCAGCAGAGAGCAGTGCCAGCTGGGACTGGAGGGATGGAGGGATGCGAAGGGGGAGGGGTAGAGAAACAGTGAAGGGAAGGGGAGTGACCAACAGCAGCGATAGAGCCAGCTCAGCGAAGAGGGAGGAGAGATGCCAGCTGGGACTGGCAATATAAGCGGAATGATGCTAAGGAAAAAGAGAAAAGTAGTTGGGGGGAGGGGGGGAGGGGGAAGGTTGGTGGAGTGGAGGTGACGGGGGGGTGGAGGGAAGGGAAGGGAAGGGAGAGGAGGGGAGATTGTTGAACAAGGATAAGGAATGGGGTTTAACAAAGGTTTTGGGTTGGGGGGGGGGTGGGGGGGTGCGGAAGAAAAACATAACAAACGGTAGGTTGTGGAAGAGGAGGGAAATGAAAGGGAAAAGGGAGAAGATTGTCGAGAGGATACGCGAGAGGGAAGTGACGTATGCAGTGACGTATGCAGTGACGTATGCAGTGACGTATGCAGTGTGCTGCTTGTCACCCGACCCACACACCACCCCCTTGCCCATCCTTGCACACCACCCCACCACCCCACCTCCACACCCACCGCATCCCCAAACATCAACCCCCCAACCCCACACCCCACCCCACCCCACCCCACATCACCACGCACGCACCTCCAATCCCCGCCGAGCCTCCTCCCCCTCCCTTTCCCGCCTCTGCACCTCCCCCAGCTCCGCCCTGAGCGCCTCAGTCTCCCCCTGAAGCGCGTCCACCACCCTCCCCGCCTCCTCAACCCCCTTCTTCAGCCGCCCCACCACCTCCCTCTCCCGCCCTAATGTTGCCAAATGCATCTGCAGCTCCTGGACGGCGGCGCTTGCCGCCCGCTGCTCCCGCTCCAACGCGTCTTCCGCCGCCCGCTTTCCAGCCTCCGCCTCGTCCGCTAGCTGCTGGAGATCCGCGAGGGATTTCTGGGCGGCAGCGAGCTGGCTGCGGGATTCTTCAGCTGCCCGTTCAGCTGCCCGAACAGCGCCTTTGAGGGTCTCGGCGTCGAGCTCCAGTTGGGTTACAGCCTGCTGCTTCTGGGAAACTTCCTCCCGAGCAGAGGCCAGATCTTTTCGGAGCGACTCGAGGGACTCATGGGCGGCTGCCAGGCTGGCATTGGTAGATTCCACGTCAGCATGCAGAGATTGGATTTCCTCCTCCTTATTCTGCGCCGTGCTCTTCTCTCCTGCCAGCTCAGCCTGCAGGGCTGCCACGTCACTCTCAACCTTCGCCAGCGCACCCTGAGCATCCACCAGCTCAGCACGCAGCTGGGCCTCCACGTCAGCACTCTCCTTCAGCTGCGCTGACTTGGCATCCAGCTCAGCAGCCGCATCCTTCCCACGTTGCTCCAGCTCCTTCACCCTCCCTTGTAACCGTGCCACGTCACCCTTTGCGGTAACCGCCTCGCCAATCTTCTGCTGCAGCTTCACCCGCCCGGTCACCAGCTCTTGCTGAAGCGCCTCGCGCTCCTTCCTGGAAGCTTCCAGGTCGGCAGCAAGGCCGGCAGCCGCCTTTTGGGCGGCTGAGACGGCTCCTGCTGCTGCCTCTGCCTTGGCCTGTGCTGCTGCGAGCTGCTGCTGCCGCTGGGAGAGCTGCGTGGACAGCTGACCCGCTGTTATGGGGAACGGAACGGGGGAAAGGGGGGGGAAGGGGGAGGGAAGTGGAGGGGAAAGGAGGCAGGATAGGAAGTGGGGGAGACGCATACAGGGGAAGGGGACGGGGGAGAAGAGTTTGGGTTTAATGAAGCACTGTATAATGCATGCCGCTCCTGCTGCTGTCTCTGCCTCGGCTCGGCCTGTGCTGCTGCGAGCTGCTGCTTGCGTTGAAAGAGCAGCGTGGATTGAACCATATTGAATTGCGTGCTGCTGTCTCCGCCTCAGCCCTGTGCTGTTGTCATTCGCATTGCCATCACTCACACCCACCCACCCTTTCGTTGTGACTTCGTTCAGTCACTCATTGCCATCTTCACACACACTCACCCTTCTCCTCCGCCCGCTTGGTTCTCTCCGCCTCTTCCCCTAGCTTCCCCTCCACCTCCCTCCGAGCCCTCTCCGCCTCCCCCACGCGCGCCTCAGCTGCTGCTGCCGCTGCCGCCGCCGCTGCTGCTTTCGCCTTCACCCCTTCCGCCTCCTTCGCTCCTCGCTCCGCTGCTGCCAGCGCTGCCCGCGCCTGCGCTTACAGGGGAGGGAGGGGGAGGGGGAGGGGGAGGGGGAGAAAAAGAGAGGGGGAGGGGGAGGGATGGAGAGTGAGAGAGGGAGAGGAGGGTAAAACTGAGATTAATGGGGGCAATGCCGCTCAACCCCTTTCGCCCTCCTACCTGCTCGCTCCGCCGCTGCATGCGCTGCCTACGCCTGCGGGGATCAGGTGGGCGGAAGGTGGATGGGCGGGAAGATGGAGGGAGGGGGAACAGGAGAGGGTTGGCATGATGGTGGCATTTGCTTGTTCGGTTAGAACAAACAAATGGTGGTGCATTTCTTAGAAAGCATGTCTGATCTCCCGGACGCACCTTCACCTGGTTACCCTCCACCGCCTCCGTAGTGTCATGGTGGTAACATGGTGGTGGCATGGCAACATGGTGGTAACACGGTAACATGGTGGTGACATGGTAACATGGTGGTGACATGGTCGAGTCGAGGCATCTGTTCGTTTGCTCACGAACCATATCTGATGTCCCACACGCACCTTCGCCAGGTCACCCTCCACCGCCTCCCGCTGCGCGCGCTCCCCTCGCAGCACGAATCCCAGCGCGCCAGCTGGCGCCGCACCCAGCAGCGCCGCGCCCAACCACGCGCCGCCAGAGGACTGCTGCTGCCCCTCCTCCTGCTCCTGCTCCTGCTGCTGAGGCTGTTCAATCCGAGGCAAGAACGGAACGCAACAGCAAAGAAGAGGGAACGTGCACGGAGGCGCGAAAAAGAAGATATATAAGCGACAAGTGGGACGTGGGAATGTGGGGAGAATGCCGGTGCCACGTGTAATCTCTCGTTCTCGTCCCTCGTGCCCCCCTCCCTCGTTCTCCTCCCTCTTCCTCCCAATTTATCTCTCATGTGGGGCTCTCCTTACCGCAACATTCGCGTTTGTCGCTTCTGCCGCGACGGCCGCGTCTGAAGTCAGCGTTGGCTCCACAGTGGCGGGCTCAGCAGCCGGCGCAACTTCCGCAATGACCTCAGCAGGCGGATCCAGCACTGCCACGTCAGCACCTTCCCCTTCACCGCGGGCGATCCGCGGGAAACCGGCGAGCGCCAGCGCGAAAGGCCCTGCGAGCGCGAAGAGCCTGCGCCGGGAGAGGAGCTTCGCGCGGAGAGGGTGTTCCGCAACCGCGCGCGCGCCATTTTGCACCCCGCTGCCCTCGCTGTCATCCGCGCGCGACGACGCGCGCACGCGCACCGCTCGGTACCCCCGCGTGGGGAGCGACTCTGCGCGTCGAAGGACGGAGTGGGGGAAGCCACCTTCTGCGGCGAGAGGACCGGCGCGCGGCACGGAGACGCCTTGAAATGCGGCGGCGGACGCGAGGGACGACGCACAAGCTGCCATGGCTGGTCGCACTGACAGTGAGAAAGAGTGGGATTAAGAGTTAAGAGAAAACGAAATTGTTGGCTGCCGGTGACACCAGGGATACAACCGCTGGGGTGGTGAAGTGGGAACGTTGGTGCTACTAGAAATGCTTTTGCTTTTGTCAACTGCTCTCTCTTCTAGAACGTAACGGCGCTCATGGGATACGCAGATTAGGCTTCTAATTGTTGTGGCGGGGATGAGGTGTAGCAAGTGGCTGACATTTGGGAACAGATGTCCCTCGTGGCATGATTTGGATGTGGTTCTGATGACGTGGCCAGTTCGGCGTGGAAGCTGAGGGGCGGACCACAAATCGTTGGCGAAGAAAACGTTTCGCGAAAGTCAACACCGAAATCGTTCGAACTAGTTGGTACTGGAAGAATGCCTCTGACGAACAGTTGGCTTTGTCGCACAATAGGTTACAAGTCGTTCGACTCGCGAGGGTGCCATCGTTCGCAACTCACCAACCTCAACCCAGACACGATGCAATTTGTATCTTCAAATTTGCGAAGCAATTGATTTCTTACTGAACTCCCTCACCCACATCGCTCTGACCATAGCCGCTTCACTCACGCTGGTCCTTATCCCTTGGCAAAAGTCAGCTGCTCCCTAGTTCCGTGCTATCATTGCCTGCCTGACTGCGTCGATCGTTGATCGTCAATCGTCAAACGTCGATAGTCAATCGTCAACCGTCATCATGGCAGCCTTGCGATCAGCCGTCGCCATTAGTCCCGCTGGCCTTCAACGGTCCCTCGCGCCGCAAGCAGACCTCCTGTCGAAGCGCCAACAACTCCGCGTGGCTTCCGTAACCCCAAAAAGCCGACCAACGTCGGAACGGAAATCGTTGGTTGTGCGCGCTTCGGACGAGCGGTTCGACATTGGGGATTACGGAGCGCGCGACCCGCGGCCGAGTGAGCTGGAGAGCCAGTTCGGCGATAAAGTCCTCGGGAATGCCGACACGGAGCACCGCATTCTGCTGCCGTCTGGAATCACGTACGTGCTTCAAATCAGACCAGGCGGTGTGGATTGCCATGGGTTCTGTGCTCCTCCCTTACGTGCGTACGTACTTTATCCGATGATTTTTGTTTTTCCTATTTTTTTTTGGATTGTACGTTTGACGTCTCCTAGTACGTCAACTCAAAGTGATTCGAATATACTATTTTGTTCTCATGTGTTGCGAGTCAATACAAACAGCCACAACGAGTCACCTGAACTCACGTCGACTCGCTCCGGCTCCCTTACCTTTCACGGTGCCCAAGCCCGAAATTGCCGAGGCATCTAGTTAACGTAATGTAGAAACTTCCCGGAAACTTGCCACTCGCTATGTCAATGCTGGAACCCAGTGTCTACATGAAAGGAAAAAAACCAGAACCGTACGTCTCTACCCTGCCCCTGTCCTGACCTTCTCCTCTCTCCGCTTTTGGCGTTTCTTGCAGCGAGGTGGCAGGCCTGGCCGCACGCAACTGCGCGCCGCTGCCAGCTGGCACGCAGCCGTTGGCGGAGCCAGGGGCCCGGGAGCTGCTCAAGAGGGTGAGTCCGGCGCGGGGAAGGGGTAAAGCAAAAAAAGAGAGGGTGGGAGGGAGGGGGGAGGGGGGAAGGGGGAAATGGGGCTGCGAAGGGGTTGCAGAGAAAAGGGTGGTCTGGGTAAGGCGGGGGAGGAGGGGTATGGGGAATGTGCCGGATGTGGCGGTAAGGGGAAGAGCGATATTTGGAGAGAGGGGGAAGTGGCCTAGTATGACCAGTGCTATTGCTAGTCTCTCCAAGCCTCGCACTCTAAACCCTGAACCCTCTCCGCCAGGTTGTTGGGTGAGCGCTAGTCTCCTACCCATCCAGTTTGTGTATCGCTCCAAACCCCCACACCTTGAACCCTTATATCCGCCAGTTCGTCGGGTGAAAGCTAGTATCCTACCATCCAATCCCCCAACTCTGCGGCTGAGGGGAGAGTGGCAGGTGGTGCGGGACGAGGAGAGCGGCAGGGAGCTGATGCGTTTAGTATGAAGTGTGTGTGTCATTTGGGATCCAAAACTTTCCAAACCTCAAACCCTGAACCCTGAACCCCCAATCTTTCTCCTCCAGGCCGTTGGGTGGAAGCGCGCACCCGAACCCTAAGGCCTGCGGCTAAGGGGCGAGTGGCGGGTGGGAAGTGGGTTGAGTGTGGGACACCTCAAGTCTCGCCATTCTTTTCGAACCTTGCCCCCGAAACCCTGAAACCCTCTTCTCCAGGTCATTGGGTGGAAGCGCGTACCCAAACCCTGGGGCCTGCGGCTAAGGGGCGAGTGGCGGGTGCGGGGTGAGGAGAAGAGGGGGGAGCTGATGCGGCGAGAATGCCCATTCTCATGCAATCCCACACCCTGAAACCTGAACCCCTCTCCTCCAGGTCGTTGGGTGGAAGCTAGTATCCGAACCCTCGGGCTTGCGGCTAAGGGGCGAGTGGCGGGTGCGGGACGAGGAGAGCGGGGGGGAGCTGATGCGGCGGATGGGGGCCGTGGTGGAGGGGCAGCAGGAGCAGTGCGGAGGGGGGCAGCAGGCGGACATGAGCATGCAGCAGGGATACGTCGTCAGGGTGGACCTGCACACTCCAGCGATAGGTGAGCCATCATGGCAGGGGAAGCATGGTGTAACAGAGGGGGTGGGGGGATGCGGAGGGGGCAGCAGGCGGACATGGGCACGGAGCAGGGCTATGTGGTCAGGGTGGACCTGCACACTCCTGCCATAGGTGAGTCATCGTTATAGGGGGAGCATGGTGCAAAGGGAGTGTGGGTGGGGGAGGAGAGCAGGCGGACATGAGTGTGGAGCAGGGCTATGTGGTCAGAGTGGACCTGCACACTCCTGCAATTGGTGAGTGGCGGGCTGTTATTAGAGGAACTTGGGCACACTGCACTGTCAGCAGAGGGTGTGTGGGGGAGGGCAGCGTCCGGACATGGGCATGCAGCAGCAGGGCTATGTGGTCAGTCAGGGTGGATCTCTAAAGTCCTGCAAGTGGTGAGTAGAATGGGACTGGTGCGGCGGATGGGGGCCATGGTGGAGGCACAGCAGGGGGAGTGTGGGGAAGGGCAACAGGCGGACATGAGCATGCGGGTTATGTGGTCAGGGTTGAGCGAAAACACTGTCATTCTTGCAGCCAGGATGGATAGAGACAAAAGCAGTGCACTCAAAGCATTGCTCAATCCTAAGCCCATGTGTACTCTCCCCTCCAATTATCCCTTCTCCCTACTGCAGGTGTCTTGAGTGCGAATGACTTGATCGTCGCAGCTTCTATGGATAGAGTCAAGGCCAGCGTTCAGTCCAGATAAGCCCCTTTTTTCCACTCTTTCCCTCACCTCTTCCCCTCTCTTCTCTCCCTCGCTTTTCCCCACCTCTTTCCCTCCTCTTCTCTCCCTCCCTGCAGGTGGCTTGAGTGAAAACGACTTGATCGTCGCAGTCAAGATGGATCGAGTCAAGGCCAATGTTCAGACCAGATAAGCCCCTCCCCTCACTCCCCTCCTCGCGTCTTTCCCTCTTCTCTCCCTCCCTGCAGGTGGCTTGGGTGAGAATGGTTTTGTTATCGCATCCAAGACAGGTCTAGTGAAGGTCAGCGTTCAGACCAGATATACCAGTGTACACTCCCCTCCCCACCTCGTCCATTTTTCTCTTCTCCCCTCCCTGCAGGTGGCTTGGGTGAGAATGGTTTTGTTATCGCATCCAAGACGGATCTAGTGAAGGTCAGCGTTCAGACCAGATATGCCAGTGTACACTCCCCTCCCCACCTCGTCCATTTTTCTCTTCTCCCCTCCCTGCAGGTGGCTTGGGTGAGAATGGTTTTGTTATCGCATCCAAGACGGGTCTAGTGAAGGTCAGCGTTCAGACCAGATATACCAGTGTACACTCCCCTCCCCACCTCGTCCATTTTTCTCTTCTCCCCTCCCTGCAGGTGGCTTGGGTGAGAATGGTTTTGTTATCGCAGCCAAGACGGATCTAGTGAAGGTCAGCGTTCATACCAGATAAGCCTGTGTTGGCTGCCTTCCTCACCTCTTCCCCTCCTCTTCGCTCCCTCCCTGCAGGTGGCTTGAGTGAGAATGACTTCATAATTGCAGCCAAGATGGATCTAGTGAAGGTCAGCGACCTCATCAAGAAGGCTCGCTTCTGGGCTTAGGGAAAGGAGTGAGGCATTGAGATATCTGTTACCGTATACCAGTCAACGTGCCATGCCTGAATTAAGGTTAGCGACTTTACCAAGGAGGCCCGCTTATGGGCTTAGGGAAGGGGGGGTGTTGATTGAGCCTTTCGGATTGCTGTTGTTGTAGATCAGCCTTATGGTTCCCGTTAATGAATTATGGTCAGCGACCTCGGAAAGAAGGCCCGCTTCTAGGTGTAGGGAGGGAGGGCCTCTAGTCTCGTACTGGACCTCTGGACTCGTACCGGACCGCCGTGTTAGAAACTGAAATGAATGATGCGGTAAGGGCCAGGGTCAAACAATATGCATGTGTTAGGTTGTAGGCTACAGTGAGGCACACTCCCGAGGGTACAACCCAATTAGGGTTTCCTGCTTGTACGGTACCAATTTCTCTTTAGTGATCACCATTCCGCCGCTAACATTTCTGACATGGTATCAGTCGCTAGGTTAGGTCCTAACCGTCCGCCGTCCGCCGCGCCTGCCCCGTCCGCCGCGCCTGCCCACGCGCACTGCCCTGCCCGTACGCTCCCCCCCGCGCTGCGCCTGCCCGCGCGCGCTGTTTTGCCTGTACACTGCCCCGAGCGCCGTGCCTGCCCACACGAGCTGCCCTGCCTGTACGCTGCCCCGTGCGCCGCGCCTGCCCGCGCGCACTACCCTGCCTGTACGCTGCCCTGCGAGCTGCGCCTGCCCGCACGCGCTGCCCTGCCCGTGTGCTGCCCCGCCGCACGCTACCCTGACCCGCACGCCCTGCCCGCGCTGCCCCACGCGCTCTGCTCAGCCGCACGCCCTGCTCTGCGCGACACGTGCCCCGCTGCCCCGCGCGCAGCTGCCTTGCGCGACGCGCTCCCCGCTGCCCACCGCCACGCGCGCCTTGTCGCCCTACTGCCCCGCGCACGTGCCCTGCAGCTGCCGCTACAACTGCCACGGCAGCAGCAACTGCCGCTACAGCTACTGCAGCAGCCACTACAGGTGCAGCTGCTGCAGCAACTGTTGCTACAGCTGCTGCCGCTGCCACTACAGCAGTTGCAGCTGCTGCTATGCCTGCCGCAGCCACCGCAACTACAGCTACCACTGCTGCCACTGCCGTTACAGCCACTGCATCTGCCGCTACAACTGCCGCAGCCGCCGCGATTGCCACTACAACTGCTGCCTCTGCTACTGCAGTCCCTGCAACAGCCGTTACTACTGCTGCAGCCACCGCACCTGCCTCTACAGCGCCTACCGCTCTGTTACAGCTGCCGCGGCCACTGCCGCTACAGCTGCCACTGCCACTACAGATGCATCAGCCGCCATTGCTGCAGCTACCCCTACCGCTGCAGAAGCAGCCCCTGCCTCTGCTGCCACTGCAACTGCCGTTCCAACTGTCGCCGCCGCAGTCGCCACTACCGCCCTTGCGCTGCTGCTACTGACTGCCGCTGCCTGTCATGGCCACTATCACTGTCCTAGCAATTGACATAGACGGGCACCCTTTCGAGTTCGAGTTGTGGCTCGAGTGCCTACGCCGGTATCTCCGGCGTTTCGTTAGAAATGACGTCTCCCTGTTCGAGCACACATCGAGGTCCCTTCAGGCCCCCACGACTCCCACTGCGCTTGCTGCTGACGGTGGCGAGGACGTGCAGTGGCGGTACTGGGCGGACCGCGTTGCCTGCACACGGTGGACGGAGCGCGACTCTGTCGCCCAGCTTGCTGTTCGCGCTCACCTGCCGTTCGACCAAAGGGCCCACTTTCGTCAGGTAACTTCGGCCCAGACTTTTCACGACGTTGTGGTTAGGCACTACTCCTCCCTCTCTCCTGCCACCCGGCCGTAGCAGCAGCGGCGTCCGTTCTTCTAGGAGTGGCAGCAGCTATTTACGGAGGCGAGTGTAGGTGCCTGTGAGTCAGTTCGCACAGGTGGTGCAGTTGGTGGAGGCGGAGGTTATGGGGGTGGACAGCAGCGGCAGCAACATCAGCAGGAGACCCTCTCACCGCAGCAGGCTTTGTAAGTGGGTTTCTCAGCGAGGCGTCCCTGGTAGTGTAGAGGTTGCTAGTCTAGGTGCTTCTGAGTCTGCTAGCACCAGTGCAGTTCTTGCGGAGGCTTTGCTCACCTTCACGCTGGACTCAGGCGCGTCTCGCTGCTTCTTCCGCGATTGCACCACCGTCACACCACTCACCACACCTGTCCCTGTCACTCTGGCTGACCCCTCCTCTGGCCCAATCGTTGCACGTAGTTCCACTGTTCTCCTGTGTCCGGCAGTCCCCTCTATTTCCCTCACAGTCTCTACCTCCCCTCGTTCGCTACGAACTTGGTGAGTAACTCTGTCCTCCAGGATCATTTGGTCACTACCACCACTCCTACGGTCGAGCTAGTGGCGATCTGTACGGACTCAGTGACTGGCGACCACCTCGCCACGTTCACTCAGAGGCCTGGATCTGGCCTGTATACACTCCACATTGTGTCTGCACAGTTGGCTGCGTCCGGTCAGGTAGCTGCGTCTTGCTTGTGTCGGTTACTCACGCACCCGTCCCTCCACTGGCACCACCGTCTTGGTCACCCCTCCCTGCAGCGTCTGCGTCGCATGCACTCACGCCTCCTTGTTGTCAGAATCCCAACCACTAGACCATTGGGATAAAAGGGCTTGTTTAGTAGCGGGTAAGTGCGCCCATAACCCCCCAGGCCAACGTGCCTGTAACCCTTCCCTAGGATCAATCGGGGATCACCAGTGGACCTCTGACACCCCCCCGCACTGGGATGCCCGAAGTGCACACACTGGGATTCGAACCCGAGACCTTCGCTCTGATAGCATGTCAGAATCCCAACCACTAGACCATTGGGATAAAAGGGCTTGTTTAGTAGCGGGTAAGTGCGCCCATAACCCCCCAGGCCAACGTGCCTGTAACCCTTCCCTAGGATCAATCGGGGATCACCAGTGGACCTCTGACACTTGTCTCAGGACTCCTGAGGTCCCTGCCCCTGCTTCCTCCGCCGCTTGCACCGCCGTGCACTCCCTGCGTCGAGGGGCGGCAGCGCGCCGCTCCTCACTCCTCCTCGTTCCCTCCGACCACTGCTCCTCTTCAGGCCCTGCACATGGACGTGTGGGGCCCTGCCCCCGTCCCTGGGCCGGGCCGTGAGTGCTACTTCCTGCTGGTCGTCAACAACTACACGCGCTACACCACGGTGTTTCCCTTGCAGCACAAGGGAGACGTCCGTGATGTATTGATCCCTTGGATCCGCGCTGTTTGCCGCCAGCTGGGCGCACGGTTCTGTCAAAACCTCCCAGTGCTCCATCTGCACTCTGACCGTGGAGGTGCATTTTCTTGCGATCTTCTTGAGGCCTTTTTTCGTGAGGAGGGCATCACCTAGTCGTTCACGCTTTCGTCTTCTCCACAGCAGAATGGGATCGCTGAGCGCCGCATTGGCTTGATCAAGGAGGTTGCTCGCACCTCCATGATCCATGCGGCTGCTTCCCATTTTCTGTGGCCGTTTGCGGTCCGATACTCCGCACATCAGCTCAACCTCTGGCCCCGTGTCTCCGAGCCAGAGACCTCGCCTATATTGCGTTGGACGGGGGAGGTTGGCGATGCGGCGGCGTTTCAGGCATGGGGCTCGCTTGCCCATGTGTGCGATACCACCGCGGGCAAGCTCTGTCCTTGCACTATTCGCTGCGTCTTCCTTGGCTTTCCCACTGACGCCTCGCCTTGGCAGTTTTACCACCCTGCCACGCGCCGCATCCTGTCCTCCCGCGACGTCACCTTCGATGAGTCGGTGTGCTACTACCGTCTCATCCCCCACGCGTCTTCTCCTGTCCCCCGCCCACCCCTCTTCCTGGTTCCAGGTTACCCCCCAATAGACCCCCCCCCCCCCCCCGCGTCCTGCTCCCTCATGCGTGTCTCAGGTCTCACCTCCCCCCTTGGTTGCGCCTTTGGAGGTCTCCTTAGACTCCACAGGCCCGGCTGAGGAGGATGACCCTGCTGCTGACGTCACTGCAGCCTCTCGTCGCTCCCCGCGCTTGGAGACCCCTCCTGGTTTTCCACCTCGGCCGCCTTCGCCGCCTCTGCAGCCTGTCTCTGTGGACTCCAGTGCTGCTGGGGGTGGTGACGCTGGAGGTGCGGGCTCTGGGGGTGCTGGGACCAGGGGTGCTGACGCTAGGGGTGCTGATTCTGGAGGTACTGGTGTCGGCAGTGCTGGAGGTGCTTCCGCTGGAGGTACTGGGGGTTATGGTGCTGGAGGTGCTGGAGCTGGAGGTACTAGAGCTGGGGGTGGACAGCGCCATCAGTTGCGTCCGCAGGCGGCTCTCTTGCCGTAGCAGCTCCGTGAGTGGGTGGTCAAGTGCAGTGCTGAGCCTGGAGGTGCTGGTTCTGGGGGTGCTGAGCCTGGGGTTACTGACTCCGGGGGTGCTGACACTGGAGGTACTAAGCCAGGGGGTGCTGACGGTGGAGCTGGAGGCGCTGGAGGCTCTGGAGTTGGAGGTACTGACGCTGGAAGTGCTGGAGGTTCTGATGCTGGAGGTGCTGGAGCTGGAGGTATTGGAGCTCGCGGTGCTGGAGGTTCTGGAGCTGGAGGTACTCGAGCTGGAGGTGCTGGAGCTGCTGGTGCTAGAGGTCCTGGTACTGGAGGTACTAGAGCTGGAGGTACTGGAGCTGGAGGTGTTGTGCAGCGGCGACCATTCTTCTTGGACCAACAACAATCGTTACTACCACCACGTGGCTCGGCACTTCGCCAGGTTCTCAGTCTTCTATCTTCCACTGGTGTTACTCCTCCTCTACTGTGTCCACCGACTGACCCGTCTCAGCCACATTTACAGCCTACCTTTCCACTGCCTGTTCGTTCTCGTTACACTGAGCTGCCATAGTCTTTGACTGAGCGTAGAGAGGCTGCGTCTCATCCTGCCTCACCTATTGCTCGTGCTCCTCATGCTCGACATGTTCGCCCTTCGCCTGTTCCGAGTGAGCACACTATGACACTTCGTCCTTCCTTTGTTGCACATCGTCCTGTCATGCTG